ACTCCTGCTTCCAAGCTTGTTTTCATTTGGAAGCTCCACCAAACACTATCCACCATGGGTAACCATTAATGCATTTGATAACACAATTAACACAAATTTGCATAGGAAGAGATCACTCACTCATCTTTCTCCCAAGGAGCTCTTGGTGGATCAGAACGACCAGACAGACACCACTTTTAGGTTAGCAGTGGGACATCCTACAGAATGCCTCACCAGAGATATTTTTTTAATGGCTTCATATTAATAAGGCCTTGGGTTTTGAGAAGTGAAAACTAAGAGGGATAGTGTGAGCAGAGTGAATGGCATAAACAAAAATAAGATTAGAAAGCAATGACAACTGTGTTTGTGGTTTTTGTTTGATTTTCTTTTGCTTGTGGTTTTAGTTTGTTTTATTTTCTTTTCTTTGCAAATTCTGCCTCTGATACTTAGTAAGAATGTGTCCTTGATCTTACTCGTTAATCATGTTGGGCCTCTGTGTCCATATTTGTAAGAAGTAGGCCATAAAATATCCCTCCCAAAAGCATTGTGAGGAATGAAATGAGATTGGATGTACTAAGTAGGTTGTTACTGTTGTGAGGTGCTGTTGAATAGAGTATGACCCATAGTAACCCTATGAACAACAGATCTGAACCCTGTCCTATCCTGTGTCAACCTCATAGTTTCTGACACACTACAGGCCATTGCGGCAGCCACTGTGTTAATCCACCTGATTAAGGGTCTTCCTATCCATTGCCAACCCTCTTTCTTTCTGAACATGATGTCTCTCTCCAAGGAATAGCCCTTCCTAGCAATGTGCCCAAAGTATGTGAGGCAAAGCTTTATCATCCTTACCTCCGAAGAGCACTCTGGCTCCACTTTATCCAAGACATTTTTTTGGTTGTTGTTCTTTTGATTATCCATGGGATGTTCAGTACTCTTCTCCAATACCACCGCTCAAAGGTTTCAATTCTTCTTCTTTTATCTTTACTCATCATCCAGCTCTCAGATACAAAGACCATGGCCTGAATCAGATGCACATTGGTCCTCAAAATGATATCATTATTCCTCAATAATTTGGAGAGGTTCTCTATTGCAGACTTTCCCAGTACATTATGTCTCCTGATTTCCTGACTGTTGGGTGTTTATTTTGGATCCAAGTAAGAGAAATTTGTTGACAGTTTCAATCTTTTCTCCATCCATCATGATGTTGCCTATCCATCCAGTGATGAGAATTTTTGCTTTCTTGGCATTGAGATGCAATCCATATTGAAGGTTATATTCTTTGAGCTTCTTCGAGTGCTTCAAGCCCTCCTTAAGCAAGTAGCGTACAGGAATGACATTGTGGATTCCCTTGAACTTTATAGAGTGTCTTTGGTAGATTCTGATTACTATGTTGGGTACTTGAAATTTCATCATTTATTGGTTGCTTATTAAGACTTGGATAGAGATTATAAATTTTATTGTTGTGTGTATAATTGAGTAATAAAACAAGTTAGAAGTACTCCCATGACTCAACTTTCAGCTAAACAACAGAAAGGCCTATAGGGCCCTACAAAACTCTAGGGAGGAGTGTACTCCTTAGAGCAATTATTGTTATCATTATGTGCCATCAAGTCGATTCTGACTTATAGCGACCCTGTGTACAACAGCTCTAAACCTTGCTCTATCCTGAGCCAATGTCATCATCTCTGATACACCTACCCCCAATACCCTAGTCACTGATGTTAATCCATCTCATCCAGGGTTTTTCTCACTTGCATTATCCCTTCACCCTTCTAAGTATGTTGTCCCTCTCTAAGGACTAGTCCCTCCTTGCAACATGCCCAAAGTATGTCAGACAGAGCTTCAAAATCTTTGTTACCAAGGAGCAGTCTGTTTTCATCTTCTCCAGGATGGACCTATTTGTTCTCTTAGCAGTCCAGGATGTATCTAATACTCTTCTCTAGCATCACATACAATTCAAAGGCATCAATTTTTCTATCATTCTTAGTAATTGTCCAACTTTCTGATGCATAGCAAATAATTGTGAAGAGCATGGCCTGGATCAGACACACCTTAGTCTCTAGAGTGACATTGTTGCTCTTTATTACTCTGCAGTGGTCCCTGACAGCAGACTTTCCCAGTGCAATTAGACTTTTGATTTCCTAGCTGCTGGGACCAAGAGTGTTGATTGTGGATCCAAGCATCTTGAAGCTATTAACAATCTCATCTCTTCTCCATCTATCATGGTGCTGCCACCTGGCCCAGTGGTGAGAATCTTTGTTTTCTTGTTGTTGAGCCTCAATCCATCTTGAACTCTGCAGTCCACAACCTTCTTGAGTAAATGCCTCAGGTCCTCTATAGTTTCAGCAAGCAAGGTTGTGTTATCTGCATGACCCAGGTTGTTGATGAGTCTTCCTCCAATCCCAATGACATATTCCTAGTACAACGTGTCCCCTGAGTCCTTAGAGGTGGTAGCATATGATCAAGAAGTGATAGAAGAAGGAAGAAGTCTAAGCGTCACTGAGGGAATTGGTGAAAGATAGGTTCCAGGAATTTCCAAAATGCCAACTGATTCAACAAGTAGATGCAAAACTGAAAGCTATCATGCTACGGAAGCTTTCAAAACTGAAATTTGGAAGACAGCTACTTGTCCAACCAAATAAAAGACATCCATATGTGTGCCCTTAAAAAAAATGATTCAACTGAATTCAGAAACTATTTATTCTATCCTTAACTGTCACATGCAAATAAAATTTTTCTAAACGTAATTTTTTAAATGCTTACACTAGTACATCAACAGGGAACTTTCAGGAATTCAAACCAGATTCAGAATTGGATTTGGAAAAGGAATATCAATGTTGATGTCAATGGATCTTGACTGAAAGCAAAGGTGTTTAACCAGGTGCATAAAGTTTGGACAACCTTGTAAAGAATGGAAATTTCAGAACTTTTGCTCATGTGGAACCTGGGCATTGACTACAAGGAAAGCATTCAAAGAATACAAGGGAATATTGTGTCATTTAAGTTAGAAAAGATATGTATTGGTATTGTATCCATATACCTTACTTAGCCAATCTGTGTACTGAGTATTTAATACAAGAAGCCAGATTATATGAAGAAGCTGGCATCAGGACTGGAGGAAGATTCATCAACAACTTACAATATGACAGAAAGCTGTTTGCTGAAAGTGAAGAGGACTTGAATCCCTTAGTGATGAAGGTCAAAGACAACTTTCATCAGCCTTTAGTATGGATTGTACCCAAATAAAAAAAGCAAAAGACTTTACAGCCAGAGTAGTAATCAATTATCATTATTTCAAAGAGAAAAAGGTTGAACTTGACAAGGCTTTGGTTTTATTTGACTCCACAATTATTGCCAAGAAAACCAGCAGTTAAGAAATCAAACCATGTATTGGATTGAGCAAATATGCAGCAAAAGACTTTTTTAAAAGCGAGATTGTAATTTTGAAGACCAAACCATGGTATTTTCTATTACATGTACATGTCAAAGCTGGATTCGTGAAAAACATAGACTGAAAAAGAACTGATTTATTTGAATGATGGCGTTGGCAAAGAATACAATAATACGATGAACTTCTAGAAGAACAAACAAATCTGGCTTGGAAGAAGTACAGAATAAATGCTCCTTAGAAACAAGGATTGTGGCATTCAGTCTGACATCCTTTAGGAATGTTACTAGGAGGGGATAGTTCCTGGGGAAGGACATCCTACTTGGTAAAGGGTCAGTGAAAAAGGATGAAGACCCTCAAAAATGGATTGACACAACTGTTCCAACATAACTCTCTCACATAACAAATGGCTGTGAGGCTATCCCAGTGATTCTTCCCCTTCCCATCCTCCTTTTCTTCCACCCTTCTCTCTCCCTTTTTGAACATTTATACATAACTTGCTCATTTATCCTCTTATTTTCACAACAGTGGCTTCCTTTGTCCCTATGCACATGAGATATAGCATGCAGCATAATGCTCTCTAGTCTCTCCCAGGTTATACAGTATTTTACGAAATTGTTGTCCCTTAATGCTGCATAAGATTATTCTGTTGTGTGACTGTACCAAAATGTCTCAACCCATTTGTTTGTTGATTATATGCAAACCAATTAATTTTTTTTTCTTCAAAACACTTTGTCTTCTTTTATTTACTAATATCAATTCTTGACTGATTGCATTTCCAGAAAACGCTTTGGTAAAATACATTCATTGTATTATCTCACAGAGCATGTCCAAGCTCAATAAGAAAGTTTAACTCCGAAAAATCATATTGAAAACACAAGTTCTGAAACCTATCCTGAAATCCCAGTTGAAGGAGGGCAGGAAAACTCTAAATAAAAGTAAAGAAAAATATATTTTAAAAAATAATCACATTACTAACCCAAAAAGTCGTTTCCTGGAGATAACAGTATGTTAAAAGAATGCTTAATGTTTTCTTTTTTTAATTTTTATTATTAATTTCAATGAACATTTACAGAGATTTTGAATTTCCATTCATTCATTGTTGCACTTTAAAAATTTTTAAGAAAAATGGTGAGGATGGCCCATGGTGAAATAACGTTTTGTTTCGTTGTATGTTGAGCCATTAGGAGTTCAAATTGGGTAAATAGCGCCAGAAAATAACCACATAGATGTTTGGAGAGGGTGCAATTTCAGTGCTTGTCATAGGTGCTATTTTTCTTAAAGATGCCAGTGAGATTTTCTAAAAACTTTTGCAAGAAAATGGTAACTTTCATTGTAAAACTGTTGGCAGGAGTGACGGACCACAAGAGACTTTTAAAGAGGAGCGGTACCTGGTAGGCTGCAGAGGGGACAGTGGCAGTGGGCAAGGTGGCCTCAGTCCCTCGCCAGAGGGGGCGGAGCAGGAAGCAGCGCGCAGTGCTGGGGGCGGAGACTCAGAGATCGCCCAGGTGGGGATGAGCGACCGTCACCTGCCCGGGGACCAGAGCCGAAACTGCTGCTCAGCGCTCGGTGAAGAAGGGAAACCTTCTGGGTGGCCGCTGATGAAGCCACTGAACTGAGAGAGACTGGCATGGGTCTTGAGCTGCCGGCACCTTGGCTGCTGCTTGTCACCTGGCTCCCGGCAGGTGAGCCAGGGGAAAAGGGGACCCACCTTGGGCCCAAGGAGACTGGAAGCCATTGTTGTCTGGCCTTGCAGAGCTGGCTCCAGGCAGGGCAGTGGAGGCCTCGGGCGCGCTCGGGTAGCTCTTGGCACCTGTGCTTGGAGGTGCGGGGGACAGGATCGAGTTTCTGCTTGTGGAAACCTGTTGCTTTCCTCTTTTGTTAGACCTGGCCCTTCTGAAACAGGTGCAACTAAGACAGAAACCAGCGAGTCAGGACTTCCTCTCCTGCACTCACTAAGGCACCTCTTGGTCTCTAAAATTGAAGTAGCAGAGGCAGAAAATATCACCCTTGAAATTTCTCATTACCTTTCCCTTTCATATTTTAACTGGCTTTTAGATCACATGTGGCCGAGATATGCATTTCTTGTACTCATGGGAGTTTGTAATATGTCCTTAGTATATAAACCTTGTAAGCAGGAATGTTATTCACTTCCTAAATAGCATGCCTTCGGAAACCTTATGAACTTTGATAAATGTCCATAGTTGTAGAGGGGCCCTAGACCTTTCGTTCAAGTCGTGCTTGACTTGAAGGCAATTAACAACAACAACAACAACAACAGTACATAAACCAGGGGTGAAACGAAAACATATTTTGATTCAGTGTATCTGGGGTTGTTATTGTTATATATGCCTTCCAAGTGGAAGCAACTCCTAGCTGATCCTCCAGCGAGTTTTCATAAGCTGTAAATCACAGGGGAGGAGATTGTCCATCTTTCTCCTGATTTACAGTTTATGAATTTGAACTGCATGCCTTCAGACTGACAGGAAGTCCTTACCACCAGGTCACCAGAGCTCCCTGAATCTGAGGTGGAAATGCAAATTCTCAGCTGAGCCACAAGAGGAATAATGAAGGACTGTTTTAAATTGAAGAAACCACCAAAGAAAATAATTTTTACAGGTAGAGAGGGTTGATGTGAATTCCTAAGTGAACCTCTAACCTCCTTATTCCATTTCATAGATGAGAAACTGAGAGTTCAATTCTATTTTACTCCAAATTTGAGTGGAAATAGCTATTTTAGTAGGTATTTGTTTCCCTTGAACATGCAGAGGAAATGTCACTAAAACTATTCCATGCTGAATGTGGCTTTGATTTTGCATCTGTGGTGTCTTGGTTACTCTGGGCAAGTTACTTCCATTATTTAAACCTCCAGTAAATGAAGATGTAACTCAAGGATTTTGTGGGAAGTTTTATAGCAATCAACACAGTCTGGAACATACTAAAGGCTTAGTAATGCTAGCTAGCCATTGTGATAAGGTAGTGTAGACCCAGGTATATTTTTTTAAGGCTTAAGGCAGGCCGTTAACCCACTCAACTACTCACATAAAGGTTAGTGATTTGATTCCACTCAGAGGCTCTTCAGAATAAACGCCTGCCAATCTACATTTGAAAACAATGAGCCACTGGAAAATCTTACAGAACACAGTTCTGCTTGATACATATGGTATCACTATGAGTTGGGATCATCTAACAAAAATTGTTTTGTCTTTTTGGTGTTTTTTTTTTAAATTAACCTTTAATAGACAACATAAGCTTTCCTCTATGACTAAGAATTGGAATTAAGATGCAAATGATTCTCAAGTTGAAGCTAAACTCTTACTAACTCTGACTTAGGACAAATTACTTTCTTCACTTAGAACACAAGTGAAATTCCAAGCAAACTCCTCCTCCTCTTGCATCCACAAGTAGTTCTGGCCCATGAGTGAATTAAGAGCAAGAAATATCAAGCGTGCACAGACAGTGTCTGCTGCATAGTCATCTTCAGAAGACAGAGTCCCTCCTCATCAGCCTGCTTCTTTCTTCATTTTAAAATTTTACTTTTTAAATGTCTTTCAAGGCAAGCTGGAGATAAACTTTTCTCTCTTTGTGGTGTAGTCTGCTGTTGTTGTTAGGTTTCAGTGACCCATGAACAATAGCCATGAACCCTGTCCTATCCTGTGCCATCCTCCCCAACTCTGACACACTTGAGCCCATTGCTGTATTTGAGTTCATTGTGTCTATCCATTTCACCAAGAGTCTTCCTCTCTTTAGCTGACCCTCCCTCCACCTTTCTAGGCATGATGTTCTCCTCCAAGAGATTGTTTCTCCTAGCAACATACCCAAATTTGAGTGACAAAGGTTTGCCATCTTTACACCCAAGGAGCACTCTGGCTACACCTTCTCCAAGACATGTTGTTCTTTTTTGCCATTGAGTCAGAACCAACCCTAGCTGACCCTCCAATGGGTAGATTGCATAGGAGGAGGTTGCCCATGCTTCTAACAAAGACCATCTAGTGGATTTGAACTGCATGCCTTTGGTATTTCGGTGCAGCTTCTTTACCACTAGGCCACCAGAGTTCCCTTTTCCAAGGCATAGAAAGTTGCAATGTTAACCTAATGGCAGCACCTCTCTGGCAGTTCGAGTCCACCAGAGGCTCTGCGGGTAAAAGGGGCAATCAATCTCCTGTGAGATTTGCAGCTGTAAGTCAAAACCCACTCCATCGATGGCAATTAGCTTGCGTTTGTTTGAGTTCTCCAAGTCAATAATAAAACAATGACTTTTCATACTTTTCCCATATAGCTCACAGTAATAGGCCACAGCGCGCGCGCACACACACACACACACACACATTTCTAAAATAGAAATGAGAGAATCACAAAAATTTCCATCACTCTATTTGACCAAATATGAACAAAACTGACTTCAGATTTTCTATGATTTTTAGTCATATTTAAATCATAGACTATAGGCCCCTAAATGACACGGTTTGTGCTCATTTTCTAACCTAAAGTTTGGTGGTTTAAACCTACCTAGTAACTTGGTGGAAAGAAGACCTGGTGATCTGCTTCCATAAAGAGTGCAGACCAGAAAAGGCACTGAATCACCATGAATCAGGCTCACTTCAGTGGCAGTGGGTTTATTTGTTGTTTGGATATTAGTCCCAGAATTCATAATGGAAAAATTCACCACACTGATTTTCTCAGTACATACTGTGAACTACTATTTCTAAAGAAGAGCCAGTCCAGTCCTCTGGTTAGTCAGCATCTCAGTTCCCAGAATTGAGAAGTGTAGTCTTGCCATGCTGGGTTGGACTTTAGACCCTCACTCTTCTGTGTGGCTCAGAGCCTCTGGTGAAGCCCTGAAACTAGCCTGTCTTGTGATGTTCCCACAGTCTGAGTGCTCAGTGGCATAGACACCAGCTTTCAGAGTTCTTGTGTAAACCTCTGAAATGTTTTTTTCTTTTTAAAGAAATAAGTTCTTGTTGTACTATGGACATCTGAATTCTTACTTTTTAAACAGAACATTGATATAAAGTCTCACTAATCTTGAGGAAATCCGGGAGAGCCAGATTTAGGACACAGCTGCTGTGTTTTGCTGGGCTTATGTTCTATCTTTGAAAAGGTACCATCTTACCACTTCTCAGCCTCTTCATGGAAAATATTAGCAATTTCACTCTATAACAGGGTTCTCTGCTTTACACAAGTTCTGGCTTTTGTTGGTTGTACTGTACTAATATTTGCAACTGTTTTGCAATATTGGCTCTGATTGCCTTCATCCAAACGTCAGGTTTACCTCTGGAATGAAAGTTCAGTTTCCTCTAAAGCTCTGTGAGGATGTTTATCGTTAGCACATTCATAAATTTTGTTTGTTTTTAAGAGTATAGGATGGCGCTGCCTTCCAGATCTGCACACCTTTTGACTGATATTAGCCTTCTTTGGGAAATCAGCAGCTGACTTCTGCCAGGCAAGACTTTCAGACTCATAATCTTCCTGCATGGTGAGGGTGGTGGGTATGGGTCTGGGTGGGTAGTGATGATGTTGCAGACTTGATAAAATTTAATCAGATTGCTGATAGAGTGGGCAGTAAAGCAAAACAGCTCAAGGAGTATGGGTGGTGGATGGGAGACTGCCCTCTTAATTTCTTCTATGCCCCCTCAGTGGTCCCTAAGATACTTCCCAAGAATCCCAGTGCTTAGCTAGACACAGGCAGGGATCACTCTGATCCCTTGCTGCCTATTCCTGGACAATTTTACAGATGAAAAATCATGGGTCAGAGAAGTCATGATACTTAGACTGGCACAATGGAATTAGAGTGAGTGCTGGCATCAAAGCCCTTTTGTTCTCGTTCTTAGTCACTCGTTCTGTTCCCTGTTTCATACTGTGGAGCAGGTTTGCTCTGTTTAGTTGAATTAGGTATGCAAAAATAAAAGCAAAATCACTGCCTCCTGGGTGTCTAACTAAACACTAATTAAGCAGCAGCTTCCCAACAACAATGAAGTGGAATGTGATGTTGAGTAATTAATGTACAGCACTTCTGGCTTTTTTTTTCAGCATAGTTAGTTTATCATTGGAAGTCCTTGAGGAAGAATAATAAAAGTGACTGCTTATTTTAAGAATTGGGAAGACAGGTTGTATCTTGTCTTGTTCTACTCTTTATTTCTGAAACTCCCAATCTGACTCTTGAAGTTAGGTGGCTGTTGTTGTTGTATGCCATAGAGGCAGAAGCAACTTCCCCCGTGGGAGCAGCTAGTGGCTTTGAACCACATGCCTTCAGGATTGCAATGCAGCTTCTTGTCACTAGGCCACTAGGGGGAAATAACTTTGACAACTTCATCATTCACCTTTCTCAGACAGTCATTGAGTTCTGCTGCTTAGTCCCAGACTCTGACCCTTGTTTTTTAATTCTAGGTAACAAAATTTGCAATGACTTATGTTTAGCATCTTAATTATTTCTTTACCTGTAGGCCTACTACCTCTGTGTTTGTTTCTAACCATCCTCTACCCAACTGATAGCTTAGTTTTCTTATTGTTGTTGTTGTTTTCATTGTCGTGTTCTGTAGAGATGGAACTCACATAGCTTACTCTTTGGTGAGTTAATTGCGCAGGAGGAGATTGCCCATCCTTCTCCCACAAGGTCCCTGTGCGTCCAAATTCCTTCAGTTGGCCTATCTTCTATTCAAGAACCTCCACTAGCCCCAAGTCCCTT